CCTAAAATAGCATTAGCCGAAAAACGAGTACGTCCCTCAATGGCGGCCGAGCCGAGGCGAATTCGTACAAACTGTTGCGTTGAGGGTCGAGCTGCGAGGATTGTAGTACCAGATTTTTTGTCATGGCAAACTTCCAGATGCCATGTGTCAGGGCTTAAAATCCCCCTCAATATCAAATTTCAGCTGACCATGAAAAGTAGTAGAATAAAAAGGTTGAACATAGGTGTTATGTATAAGAGGGCATTTTACGATGCAGTCTCTGTGTTTCATTCCTTAGCTGTAAGCAAAGACCAAATTATGCGTGCGGATAGTGGCGGGAATCATCAGTACAGCCTCCTACCCGCCATGTCCTGAACAGCCATGTAACTAATTTGCAAGACAGATATCCGAAAGAAGGAGAAAGCAGAGAAAAACTAAACGGAGTAAAGGATGAGTGAAAGAAAAGAGAGTTAACTGAGGTCAGAAAGAGTTTGATTTTCGGTAATAGTGATTTATCTTAAGATAATAATGATTTATCGTAGATAATATCGTAGGTAATCGTGGATAATAGTGATTTATCTTAAGATAATAATGATTTATCGTAGGTGATCGTAAATAATAGTGATTTATCTCAAATAATTTACAATTTTAATAGGTATTTACAGGCATAGCCTTAGTTGATCATCGACAACTAAAGCCGCCGATCGCTTTGAGTAGCAATCCAGCCATGAAATCGTCTGAAATAAGCAAAAGCGAAAACAGAAGGAGTGCCAGCGCTCATACCGTACTATATTTATCATTTCTTGATCCGGTTTCCTTCATTTTGATTACAATCTCTTAGCTTCGTTCACCTAAAATTAGCTTTTTCCGAAATCCGCTGAGATGTCGTTGATGGGGGAGAGAAGGGGGGAGCCTATCCAGCGGAGGAAATAGCTTAGCGGTTAGTTAGCTGCTACTGTTTACAGTTGGATATTGAAGCCACTGAGGTTTTTTTTGATCAGTAGCACAAGGGTTAGGCTTTTTCAGTAGAGCTAAGCACAAGAGCTAGGCATTTTGACTTTTTTAGTAACTTTATTGACTTCTACGCACCTTTTTTCTGTGCTAACCCACTGGCGTTAAGTGAATTTTTGAGCCTAATTTTTACATTTCTTAAAAATTTGGAGAACTTAAAAAACGTAGCAACCAAAAAAAAAAAAATGCGTTTTTTATGATTTACTAGAACTTAGGCATGAGGACTCTCCTTATCAGTTACGTAAATAGCCTTTATTTTTGAAAATTCAGGTAGATTGTTTCCACAAGGCATTCAAAAATAAGTTTCAGGAAGAAGCAGTTGGAGCAGTGGCGGCACCGAAAGGAAATGCAGCAGTCGAAGTAGCAAGTCCAAAATTGCGTCGTTCGGAATCAACTTCCTGTTCGCGAACCAATCGCTATATAGCAGTGAAGAACCGTCGATATATTGTAATC